CCTGCGTAGATGCTTTTCAACACTGGAGACATAAGCAAGCTCGACATGCTCGCAAAGACAAAGCGACCGGAAGTCGCTAGGGACACAAGCGGTGGTTCACGTTTGTAGTACACAGCAAAAGGGTCTATACATCACCGTGCTGAGGATAAACAATGTTCCATTCCTTCACGTACCCTGCTTGCTTTTTTCCAAAGCGACCAACGCGCGTGCAAGACAGACTGTAGATGTGCACGCATCCGTTGAAGATCCGTAAAAAATTCCGATGATGTAAGAAAAAATAATTCCCAACGACCTTTACCTTTAGTCATAGAATGAACGGAGCGCAATTTTTAAATAGTATTTGTTTACATTTGTTTAGAAGACATTAAACGGACGTTTCAAAGGGCGAGGAACATGCTGTTTGATTTCTTCGCCGAATCTAGCGGGGAAAGTGAGGTCACGTGGTGTCAGACCACGTGACGTCATGGTCACGTGATCTGCGTCCTCCGCTGCCAGTGCAAGTGAATCGTGATCCAACCAGTCGGTCAGCGTGTCGGGTCAAAGGATGTTCTGCAATGAGGAAGCGCGCTGTTTATTTATTCGCGCCGCAGACGCGATTGCCTCTCCGTTGCAGCGAGTCTTTCGGACAACCGATAAGTGCGCTGTCCTTTTTTCTTTCTTTTCTTTTTTCGAGTAGTGTAATCACGCAGATGCTCAGAATGCTATGAAAGCAAACCGCGTCCCAAAGGAATAAAACAAAAATGTGAGAAAAAAGGCAAGATGACAAATGAAAACTGAGCATGCTCCAGGTTATGCAATCGGAGCAATCTTTTCGCAATAGATTACTCGTCTACGTGCCTGTTCTTTGGTACGTGACGTTGACTGTGTTTCGCGTCTCTGCAAGCAGTGCTAACCGAAAGTATTTTCGTGCGATCTTGACGCCCGTGACAGTGCCATACGTTGTCGAAGCTATATATGTGCTATCTTCCAAGGTGCTTCAGCCAGACCTTGTGCCTATCTACTCTACTCGAGACATCTTAATGACAAAAGCGCAAAGGACAAGGAAAGAACAAAGAACAGGACAAGCGCTTACTAACAACTGATTGTTTAATGCATGATGAGAGAAAGACGAAAATGAGAGGGGATTTACTAAATTAAAATGCCAATTGTATTCCCACGTAAAATGATTAAAAATTATTTGAGAAAATTTAACAAAATTAAGAGACTATTTTCTATTATAGTTTTTGCCTCAAAACTTTTTCGGGCTCTCTCGCTGCGAAAGCGTATGAGTACTTGCGTTTGAGTGAATAGAGGAGTGCATTTACGGTGTCTGGCATGTATGGCCAAGTGTCCTGACGGTGACGCATGTAGGAAAAGATCATCGATTTACGAGGTAAATCTCCTCTCATTTTCGTCTTTCTTTAATCATGCATTAAACAATCAGTTGTTAGTAAGCGCTTGTCCTGTTCATAGTTCTGTCCTTGTCCTTTGCGCTTTTGTAATTAAGATGTTTAACCAACTAGCCCAACAGTTAATTTTAATTCTACTCAAGATACTGCATTTGAAATACTTTTAGTAGTATTAAAATATCTTGCAAATACATTTCGTCTAGAGTGTTTGCTACTCTAACTTAATCACATTTCTCACATCCTGTACTCAGTATCTCAAATACATTTTTCAACCTCGGAAAATATTTCTTGCCGGAACAATTCACGGAACTAGGGATCGTAGGACTCCAGGCCAAAGCTGAACCGGTTGCAAACTTGGAGGCAGGCGACCAAACACAGGACAGGAAACAAGGCACGAGCAAAACGCACTCTCCGAATGACAATAAAAGACCAAATGGATAGCCCCCCCAAGTATGTTCGCCTTTATCTGTCCTCCTGTCCGTTCTTTTTTTAAAGTTGGTTTAGGATGCCATATTACGCTTGGAGCTTTACAAAGTCCTGGTGACGTCATTGGGATTTTACAGCCTTTGTTTGAAGCTAGAGGGGTTCCGTCAGCAAAAGACTGTGACGCCAACGCTTGGTATACGGTCACAATCGTCCATTTTCGGAAATCTCCAGTTCAGTGGATTCTGGTATGAAAATGCGCGAGCACGTCTTCAAGTGAGCGTGAACACTCCCTCGGCTAGAAAAGCTAGATCCTGCACGTCCTATTGAGCTGGAGTGAACTAGACTGGACTTTCCCAAAGCCCCTTGTGTGCCTATTGCGGTTTAACTTTGGATTCCAAACTCCTTCAAAAGCGTTTCTTTTACGTCCTTCCGAATGCGTACATTGATTCGATTCTCAGAACCCTCTAATACCATTTTCCGCCAGGTCAACTCTGGCTGCCTGATCAATTTCTAGTTCGGCTGTTAGGAGGATGCATTGCAAGACTACGTGTCAAGTCCCCCGAATCGCGTCAAGGCATATTATAAAGTTATTGCAGAATACGTCGTGAGCCGAGCCAACCGCCAAACTAAAGCACGCCAGTTGAAATGCCTACAATACGTGAGTCCCTCTTATTCCTAAAATGTTTCGCTACCAATAATGTTGCCTATCCCGAATCGTTTCAAAGTAAGCTTCAATTGCAGCAGCTAAGTCGCTTTTTGAAATCCATAAAGATCACAGTAGAATGTGATTTTCAGCGATGTCATCACGAGTAGACCACTCCCAACGAGGTTCAGCACCCCCTTTTAAATTTTTTTTTTTTTTTCAATTTTTAGAGCGCAGCTCTTAGGCGCCCGTTTCTGGCTTGAGCGGCGTCGCCGTCGGCGTAACCGCGCGGTGCATGATGGGTAAATTTCCCCGCTAAATTTAGCGGAAAATTTTCCCCGCTAAGTTTGGCGGAAAATTTTCCCCTAAATGGGGGCGAGCACGAGAGGAGAAGGGCATAGCCCCTCTCCGTACCTTCCCCTCCTCCTCCTCAAGAGCTGCGCTCTAATTCGGCGTTACAGGGAGTTGTAGACGGCTTTCATTTTAATATGTACTGTATTTTTGTATGTACTTGTACTTGTATTTTGAGTAGAGTATTTGTACTCTACTCAAAATAGTTCGTAGTAAAGGTAACTTAAATAATAATCTAAATATATCTTTAAATTGGTATTTAGTATCGTATCTCATAATAATATTTGGGTTATGTGTATGTTTATACAGCCTAGAACTTCGCCTGCCTCTAGGGGCGACCAGTCTCCCAGCTGTAGATGAGCAATTTAGCCAGTGCAGTACAACCGTTAGCCTGGGGTCTTTAACATGCACCACGCAGTAGTAGGGGGTTTTCGTAGATCGTTTTCGCCGTCCCGCAACGCCTTCCGCAACCCGCTACCATACCCGGAACTCTACAGCCAAGGCCATGGGCGCGCAAGCGCAGTAGAGGCTTTTGCGTTGCGGAGGGCTTAGCGGAGGGGAAAGCGCGGTCTACGAAAACTCCCTAGTGATACACGACCGCACGCTTCTACGATGCTCATCCAGATCAAAACTTTTGTTGAGTATTCTTCACAACTCTGGCTTCAGCCCCATATTGCTGCGAGGGCACGTGACTTCGTTTTACGTTTGGTTCGCACTCGCTCTTTGTGCGAAGGAGAAGTATTAGAGCACTGGCCAAAGCCATACGCTGGCCTTGACAACTTAAAACAATTGGTTGACGTTAAACATAAATGCTCGTTTCTAAAAAAAAAAAAAAAAAAAGAAAGAAAGATTACTGTGTTTTGGTTATGCCGGATAAAATCGTCGCACGTGCAGATTACGTTTTGAGTGGCTATAGATCTCGGTGTAATCGTTCACAGGCGCCGACACTCATACCCCGATTTCCGACGAGAACGCCATTGGTTGTCGCTAAGGTCACACGATCGCTCCTGCCAGCCGATGCAAATAAGCCATCCACGAAGAAACCCGGCTAGGGTGGTAATGGACGCAGCGCCACGGGACAAGGCGTCACGGGACACAGAGTCATGTGACAAGTGCCACGTGGCCAGTCTCCAATCGTAACGCTTTTGCGGATAAGAATGGGATTACGCCCCGCTGAATTTAGCGGGCGTTTTGGTGGTCGTAGCGCTTTCGCGTTTCTCTTTTGCGTCTTACGTCTTCGCCGGGTAACCTTTGCGAATTATTTCCTATCTATAGTTGCTTGGTCATTGCCACCGACCGCGAGTGCACCTTCTGCGAGAACGCAGCTCGTACCCCAAACCGTCTCTCAGTCTGTCTCTCTCTCTCTCCCTGTCTCTCAAAGGTGTGCTTCTTTCACCAAGGCGCCGTTGCAACCGACGGAAAAGGTTCAGAGCCCGCGCGGCTAGGCCGCCTCAGCCAACACAAGGCCAGCGCGCTTGCTCCGTGACGTCAGGGTTGGGAGGCCTACTCGCGGGAAAAGATCAATCCCGTGCTCTCTCATCAGCAGTGCGGTTGAGCCAGTGACCAAGCGCCCAGTGCGTACACACTATTGGCTCTCTCCTTTCCCCCCAACCTCTATTACAACGCTTCTCCTCCTCCTCAGCAGTGCGGGACGCATTACAAAATTATAGCGCAAAAGACCAGTGCGGGGCTGCAGCACTGTAGAAGAAGATAGGCTAGCCTTGACAATGTATCCCAAAACAGTCGACGCCCCGTATAACTGTGCCGCAAAACGTTTGATGAAAAGGTTTGTAGCGGGCGCTACGGGACGAGAAATATCACTCTTTGCACGCGGCTTCAAACCAAATCTAGGCGGGTGGCGCTATCGCAGCCGCCGCTTCACTTGCGTAGCCGGTTGAGGTTGCAGGAATTTGCATCACTGGCGCCCTTCGCACGCCTAGTTACGGCTAGAAGCTGTGTACAAAGATGACCTTCTCGCACCGTAGCGCTCACTAAAAATTGTTTAACCTATTTTTCACGGTACCACTCGACAATATTGAGATCAAGGGTCAATATTTCCAAACAAATAAAATCTCAAAAGCGAAAATTTTTTTTTTTTTTAGTTTATTAGTAGTTTTTAGTTTTTTTTTTTTTATTTTTAGTAAAACAAGGCCAGCCCGCTTGCTCCGTGACGTCACGGTTGGGAGGCCAGCTCGTCTTTTTTCTACTTCACATCACCTTGGCCCCAGCGCTAAGAAATTTGATGACGACAAAGGCACGAGTTGAAAACGTCTCTCGGTGCCAGGGGACCTGGGCAACAGAATCATGCATAAGGCCCATCACCAACAAATCAGTCAAAAATAATTCGGAAACGAAAGTTCGGAAATAAAAGCTCGGGCAACCAAAACGATAACTGAGCTGTACATATCCCTTTGCAAATGAAATTAAAATACAGTACTAGAGATGAAAACGAACGTCGAGTAAACCAACATGACCTCCCATCAGTCTTGGCTATCGGACAAATTACCCGAGATAGATTCCAACATCCTGTGCCAGGAATACCATTATCGCCATCAACTCCAGTAATCCACGAAATCCAGCGACGAAGGTCGGACACTCTGCGGGCGCTCGCGGAAGCGCGCCCATGCACACTCGAAACAGGAACTCTTAGCGCGCAAAGTTCCCCCTTTAACAGCGCCTCTCGGATGCAAATAGGGCACACTCAACTAAACTGCAAGAAAAAAAAAAAAAGAAAAAAAACGCAACGTAATGAAAAGTAGGAAACACGTCGACGGCCCTCGGCGAGGCAATGGGGTGAGGAGCTGATCCCGGCCAATCTCCCTCTCGCATATCGTAAGCGGCCAACCCTCCATTTAAGGAACAGGGCTGTTGTGTTGTCATGCCGACGACATGAATGGCCGGTCGGCTCCAAAGAGGCCCTCGCGGCGCGCTCTGCAAGGTGCCGCCGAAGAAGCCCGTGGGCGCTCCCTCCCTCTGGCACGTGCACTGGTCCCCGCACGCGAGTACTCCGGCGCGCCAACGCAGCGCCCGCCGCCGCCGTTCGCAGTTGCACCCGTCTTGCTCGCCGACGTCGGCCGCATCTCCCGGGATCGGCACTATTTCGAGTCCCGTACACAAACAGACACCCACCGCCGGAGCTGAGTCAGGGCCGCGGTGACGTCCTTCCACGTCAGAACACAGGCGCCGCTAGTCCACGCGCGGAGCCAGGCACCCCCTTTTAAAAAGATTATTTTTTGAGGGGGCGAGAGAGAGGTCCTTCAGACGCGCAAGAGAGTAGCAGACAGGCAGGCAGGCATTCCCCGAGGCACCCACCACAACCGAGGCGACATCATGAAGTTCGCCGTTACGGTAACTTCGGTCCTCCTGGGCTGTCTCCTGACCACTGGTGGTTCTTGGGCATGTTCCTGCATGAGGTTCCACCCGCAGGAACACTACTGCACCGCTGATTTTGGTGAGTACCCGTTGTATATTTTTTTTCTTTCGCGTCTGCTAGGGTGCGCGCGGTCGTCTGCTATGCGCCTTCTCGTCTGCAACGCGCGCGCTCGGTCGTCTGCTACGAGAAGCTGATTGCAAACTGGTCCTCATCTATGGTACGCGTGGTTAAAGCCTTATTTTCGATTAGACGATGCGTGTTTGCGTGTCTGTAGGCACGGGCGTTAGCTGTGTTTGGGACGAGCGTGTTTTGCGTCTTTGGCGGCGGCTCGCGGCACCGCACCCAACGAATGACCTCCGGCTAAACGGGACGTGCGCGTTCGCCGCTTTACTCCCGGGCCATCACCGTGCGTGGCCTCTCTCGTCGACAAAATCTGGACTTCAATCAACCGGGACACAGACTGGACATCGAATGGCCAGTGATTGTGTTGCGCGTACCTTTTAGACGGTGGGAAGTTGGTCAGCCCAACTAGACTGTCTCCACTCTAGATAAAAAAAATTTAGCCTGTGCACTACGATTGCCAGCTTAGGGTCTTCACCGTGCATCACGCTGTAGTGACGCAGGGATGGGGATCGAACCCAGGGGTTATGCAAATGCCCAGTCGCTAGAGGGGAACTTACATTATGCTTGCACTACGTCCAGTCTACCGGTGGCCTTGGCCCAAAACGTCGTGTCTTTAAAACAAGAACAACAAAAGATTGCACCGCACTTCTCGAGACAGTGCCTTATCTGGAGCACGGCGGGGGAATCCCCCGAAGAGATAGCAGTCGTTGTCCCCACAAACACGTTTCGTGCTATTCACGTAAGCAGATTAATAAGTAGAGATTGTGGCTTCTAGCTACTTTCCCGGGCGCAACATTGCTGGCACCTTTCCTATAGTGATGAAGCGCGCGAAGGAAGTGTCTTGGCAAGAGCTCTATGGTGCATTAAAGGGGCAGCGAAGGATCATCCGAGATTTGTATCTCGTACACGTTGTTTTTCGACTCCGTGCCGTCGTACGGAATAAGGATTTACTTCGTAGAATTTTGGGGGAAGTGTTTTCCGTAAAAGAGTGAAGTATTTCAAGAACAAGTGAAAGTTCGCATTTCCTCTCGTTTGACCTCGACAACGGGGAAGATTGCACCTTTCTTCAAAAGTGTCTTCCATAAAACAATGGAGGTCTGACGGCAGACGCGATCTCATGCTGCAGACTCGCAGCACGAGTTCATTTTCTATTCCAGGTGATTTGAATGTCGACTGGACTTTTCGTATACTGTATAATATTTGATTACATTACTGCGCTAAAGTCTAGATGTTAGGGGTACAACTACCAGCAGAGACTTTGGTCATTCCGCAGTGCAAGCATGAATACAATAGACTTGGGAAGAAAATGAGAGCGATAAGCTACAAGGAAGCGAGGACAGGCATGCACAGCCTTTGAAACACTGTACAACCCCGGAAAAAGTTAGTCTGACCTCTTATGGTTCCAAAGGAAAAAAATCTTACTTATGAAATGTTGGATAACCTGGGCAACTTTGTACGAAAAGCATATAAATGCGTCGCTGAATAGACCCAGTATTTCGCAGCCTGTTTACACCATAACTTAGAAAATGAACCTACAGATTCGACGAGATACTTTGGGGCTGGCACAGTTAGTATAGTCTGCATGACTGTACTTGCCTGTCTTCGTCCACTTTCTCTTTATCGCTTTCAGTTTCTTGGCAGCCACGTCCTTGTCCAAATCTTTAATATGCTCGACCGTCAGGTATTCAGGCAATCAATCGGCCATTATATTATTTCAGATAAGACATCAGACAATGATGAGGCTGCAGGGGCAAAAGGTAAAAAAGTTTGACTTGACGAGGCCTCTGCAGCTCTACATTTAACGGACGGCGACCAGCCGACAACACAATAAATGAAATACGAAGCACAACTATATACAATTTCATATCAAGTGTCAATAATTTTACCAATATATTCTGGCCTGGAGTCCTTCTAAACCAGTAACGCACAACGCGCGACACTGCCAGCCATAAGCGCCAACTACGGGGGGGCAGTGGGGCTCGTGCCCCCCCCGGACGGCTTCACGGGGGGGCAGAGCCCCCCCCGGCCCCGGCCCGGGATTTTTTTTAAAGAGCTTGGCTTGGGTCTGCGCCCATCGACAGTGGACTGTTGGCCGTCCTGACTGGCAGCTATTTCACAGGGGCCTGTTTATTCCCGCTTCTTTTTTCCTTTCAGGCTTTTAAATGGTGGATCTCGGGACAGTGACAGGTCAGACATTCAGTGGAAAATTCCCCTCAGACGGAGTTAGATGCGCGGAATATGTTGTCTGAATGAACAGGTTCCAGCAGTTTCAGAAACAGGAAAACCCTGCTCTCAGACAGTTTTGCAAAACTAGGTGGACGTTAAAGGCGTGCTCGCTCCGGTCGGTCTCCAGTAACTACTCCGAACTAACCAAATTCCTTTTCACTCTTTCATCGGAAGAAAAAAATGACACGGGAGCCAAAGCGAGTGGGTACGCGAAAACGCTTCAAAAATTTGACACCTATTTTCTACTTAGGCTTATGCTCCTTGTCTTTGAGAGGTTGGAAAGTGTAAACACCGCTCTCCAAAAGAAGAGCTTACAGTTCACCCGAGCAGAGCTTTTAAGGCTGTTGAAGAGAGTATCGGTCAACTCCGCGAGGACTTCTCCAGCTTCTGGGCCGATGTGTCGGATGAAGAACGTGAAATGGAGATTGGGGCCCCAAGCGTTCCGAAGAGACCGCGGCAGGCACCACGTCGATATGATGAAGGATCGCACGCTCATGACTTTAATTCCCCGGAAGCTTTCTACCGGCAACGGTTCTATCTAGTCATCGACACGGTGCATGCATCGCTGCGCACGCGGTTTCCGCCAGAAATGTGGCATCACATGACGCAAGTAGAGCAGTTCGTAACAGGTGAAACTGACAGCACGTACCTTTGCGAATTCTATAAAGGAGATCTCAACGCTGTGCGTCTTCAGCTTCACCGCGATATGTTACTGGACATAGCAAAGCAACGTGCAACGAGTCTTGTCACATTTCAAGATGTGGTGGAGGCTTCTTTCGGGAAAAGCAGGTGATTCCTTGAGGGTGCTCCTTCCAGAAGTTGTCAAGCTCCTACAAATCGCAATGACGATTCCTGTGACTTCCTGTTCGTCAGAAAGATCTTTCTCGTGTCTCCGGAGAGTTAAAACTTACCTGCGCTCAACAATGGGACAGGCCAGACTCAACCATACCGCCTTGCTCCACTGCCACAAAGAGCTCGCTAGGCAAGTGGATCTAGATCTTGTGGCTAACGAGTTCATTCATCGAACGGTAGTTAGAGAAAACACGTTTCATGTTGAAATCTAAGACCACTCTTCTCGGGAATACGCTCTGAAATATCTTCCGTTCCTGAAGCTTGTTATTTTCTCAGTCGTGTGTATCTATATTTGCTTTTATCTATTTGTATAGATTATATTTGTATAGAATCGAAGAACTGTAATAGTTTTGTTATTTGTGTGTTCTGAGAGTGTAAAACACCACTGTGAAGTGTCAAATGCTGTGCTCGCGATCCAACTATTTGGACGCTGATCAAATTTAAATGTGAAGCATACATATTTTTCTCGGGTCTTTTCCGTAGCATTATTTGACATATTATTTGGAAGAATTCTTATTTTAACTTGCGTGCTTCCGCGAAAGGCTGAAATTATCTGTCTCTTTTATGCACGTGTTCTCATTGCTACAATCTGTTCATTCTGTTTCTTTTTCTTACTTCCTGCTTTTGTGAGTGAGCACGTTAAGGAAATGTACAAAACAAAAACAGCAGTGTACGATGAAATGCGCGAGCAGATACGTCGTTAATGCTTGTATGTTTGCTCTATACTTTTTTTTTAATTGTAAGCGTATTGTAACCGTTGCATTGAGAATTGCTCAACGTGTGCCTCGTGTGTCTGTTCATTATAAATGTACCACACGAAAATAAAAATATTAAAATATTTTGGTTACAGCAGATTCATTTTCTCCTGTTCACCATTTTCAAAATTAACACTTTTGGTGCGCCTGCGTATCCACTCGGGGAGTTTGGTACTATATGGGCTTCTCAAAATACACTTTACACACAAAATGGCCCGCAAAATTTAGATCCTTGATGCAACAAGTAGGAATATTCCTGAAATACGTGTTTTACTGGTCACATTTATGCAACAAAATTTTAGACCCGAACTACCCCTGCAGAAAAAAAAAAAAAAGATTCGCTTTTTTGTACTGGTAGTTTAGTCTTGCAATATGTTTGCATAAATGTGGCCAGTAAAACACGTATTCAGAGAAATTTCTACTGGATGCGTCAAACCGCTGAAGTTTCCGGGTCATTCTTTTGCGGAGCGTCTTATTTGGGGACACCAGGTAGTTAGCTGTCACAATGTCCGTGTCCGTTTGTTTATGTCCTTGTCCCTTTTTCTCCAGTCTCGGGTTTACCAAAATGCTCGGTAATGGCTCCGACTGCTGCAGGTGACCCTTATGGGGAGAACCCACGGAACAAATAAAACAAGGACCTTCTCCTCCTCTCCCCCCCCCCCCCCCCCCGCAGCCTCCCCCCCCCCCCCCCCCCCCTTTTTTTTTTTGAGCCACATTCCGGGTCTGCCCCCCCCGGGAAAATGGAAACTCTACGCCGCTGCTGCCAGCGCAAACACAACTCCGGCGCTGTTTCTCATTTCACTCCGAAAGGGTCTGGCAGCCCACTTTCCACCGCTATATAGTAGCTCTGATTAAAGCTCCGATGACATCCCTTCCACAAACCCCTTTCAAAATTTAGTCTGGCAACTTTGATCGCTATCATCATATTAAATTGGGACTCTCTCCCGCGTGGCTCCGGCCCGAGTCTCCGCCCTGTCTTCCAGTGGGCCCTGGGCCGGGGTAACGCCGAGGTTTGACCAAAGGAAAAGGGGGAAGAGGCGGGGGGTGGTGTTTTCAGTCCTTTGCCCCGATCCCCCAAAAGCCATCCTGGTGATATCCCACACCGCCTGGTGATAGTGGTTCTTAATTTCTAGGCTAGGCGGCACCAGCTACCGCCCGTTATAAAGGGTACAGCCGTTAGCGTCCATCCATCCTCAACCGAAACAAATCAAGAAAGAATTATGAGGTTATCGAAGAACCCCTTATCATCTGCTACCGACGTGCGAAAGTGACGGCGTGCCTGATAAAATGCAGTTTCACGACCGCCATTAGAGTTCGTCGAAAGTGAAACTGCTTTTGCTTACACCAGATAGCACTGGATTTCGAGAAGGGTCCAACAGAGAAGAGCCGGCAATGGCTCGTCCGTGCTACCAGTGTCACGGAGTGCAGCAGCAGCTTCCCGCATTGAGCTTCCTAATCAGCGGCCCACGAGCATTTTCATCTCGGATGCCTCGGGCTAGATTCCAGCTCGAACCCCCGTCGCTGCACGTGCCAGCGGTTTGTCTGGGCCCAACCGGATTCGGCAGACCGACGACGGCGAGTCCGAATCATGACCCCTTGGCCCCCGAGGCGGAAAACCAGTTCTCCGAAACGTCCACTCGTCAACTTGGAAACCTGCGAGAGGCCCTGTTTTTTTTTTTTGTTTTTTTTTTGCCTTCCAGTTTCGGCGCAGGGCCGTCGTACACACTCGGCAAGGTCGCCGACTCGTCCCATGCTCAAAAAAACAATAAGAAAACACTCGGAGCTACCAAAAAAAAAACAAGTTTTACGAAAAAAAAAAAAAAAAAAAGAACCTTTAGAACAAGATTCCCGTTATGTGTTATCGGGTGAAGTTGTATACATAACATATCAGTACGGTGCTCCAAGCGAAGTTGAAAATGCGCGACTTCTCTCCCGGCATTTTCTTCCGGCTGTATCCGCGTGTCGTCATTTGTGTTCGCGTTCATTTTTGCTAAAGAAAACAGTCGCGATGCCGAGAAAGGCCGGTGACACGTGCCGAGGAAGCCCACGACGCGGCTTGACGATAGAGCGAAGAGAATGACAATTCTGTGTATATAGGTTTAGACAGCGTGAAAATAGCTCGTCCCCAGTGGGGGTCTGGAGCCTCCGCCGTAGACGTGAAATTTGGCCAATGAGGCTGCAGATGTGGTGAATATAGCAAACCGCAAGTTGTGGTTAAGAATGGCTCACCCGAGCGTGGCCGTAATGAAGACTGAGTCCAATGAACTGCCACCGACTTTCGTGTACAGTCGGTAGGGCTCAAGCTCCGAATCTTAGGATCACGGTAGTGTGTTATCTGCAGCACGAGAGGGGAATCCCCGAGTGTGGCTGTAATGAAGACTGCGTCCAATGAACTGCCACCGACTTTCGTGTACAGTGCGGAACGTCGGTAGGGCTCAGGCTCCGAATCTTAGGATCACGGTAGTGTCTTATCTGCAGCACGAGAAGGGAACCCCCCCCCCCCCCCCCCCTTTCCCGAAGAAATAGCAGTCCCCAGAAACACGTTACGTGCTATTCATACAAGCAGATTAATGAGTAGACATTGTGACTTGTGGCTATTTTCCGAGCCCAACATCGCCCTTTCGGCGAAGAACGCGAGGAAGGTGGCTCTTGGCAAGAGCTAGCTGTAGGCTGCATTGAAGAATCACCCGGGAATCAAGACCAAATATACCGCTGTAAAAAAAAAAGTGTTTTTTTTTTTTTAATTACATTTTTTTTTTTTTTTACGCTTTACAGCGGAGTAGGACATCCTACCTTGAGACGTTTTTGAATGGGAGTGTTAATTGAACGTTAATAAGCCAACCTGAAAAACCTTGCTCTTCCTTCCCTCCTCTCCCTCCCCCCCCCCCCCCCTTACACACGCACCGACACACACAAATCATGTCATTGCATTTTTAGTTCTCGTTATTTCCATAAGCTTGTGTGTATGCGTCCGTGTGCCGAGACATGCCAAGGCTTCTCGCAAAATAGTGTGCAACGATGCATATTTTAAGAGCGTAAATCAATAAGAAAATTAAAAAATAACTGTTGCCGAAACTGTTGCGCAGACTGTCACTGAAATCCGATATCATTTTTCACTGACTTGTACCACGTAAAAGTGTCTTTATTAAACTGCCGAGGAACAGCTGTGGAAATTCTACGAATATTTTTCGTCCACGTCCATGAGTCTTTTCCGATCCAGCTGTGTGCTTCCCGCGACCGATCAACACTTTTTGTTGTAGCATCACTGTTAAGCGCTTCTATCTTACTCTATGTATATAATAATTATAAGACCCTCCGTAACTCTGTTTGCCGTTCAGAAGCTGACACATCATTCGTTGGGTGCATTAGCCCCCGTACACATTAATTAAACTAGGTACGTCGAACCTCGATATAACGAACTTCAATGTAACGAAATCCTCGATTTAACGAAGTATTTTATTTTTCATAATTTTTTGCCCATAGACCCCGTGTATTTTTAGTCTCTATATAACGAAGTCTATTTTGCTGCTATTTCGATATAACGAAGCGCCATTGCAATAGAAGGCAATAAATAAATAGACTCTAAAAAACAACTTCGCAAAAAAATTGTGGTTAAAAAAAAAATTATGCGCAAACGCGAGCGCTTGATAGGTTACTTCACGGGGACAGGCCTTCCAACGTCCCTAGGCCACCTAGGCTGCCCAAGGGTGCGGCGCCGGTAGCGCCGGCGAGGCATGCGGCAAAGCGGATTCCGCGAGGCTGGACATAAAATGCCGAGCAAAAAGTTAACACGGCATAACAGCATCACCACTGACATTCACTGATCATCATAGTCCACTGTACCGCGGGTAGCGCGGGAGCCAACCTCAGCGGGGGAGAGCGACGTGATGGCGCGACCGCACGGGCAGTGCCATCTAGGAGAAGACCGAGAAGACCGATTATCGCTGGATTATCGTCTTGCGAGCGTGATGCAAAGCAAAGGCGCAAGCACACTGTGGGCCTGTGGGCGCAAGGGGGCAAGTAAACTGTGCGGGCAAGAGTGCTGTGTAGGTTGGAAACATTGGCACCGCCTAAACTAAACAGCTTTATTTTTGAACTGGGCGGTTCACTCACGTGCTTGCTGCCATGGGGAAACGTAAAGTTCTTTCTTTGGATGAGAAAGCAAACGTTTTGGACGCCATCCTGAAGAAACTGCCGAGATCACGTGCACTCGGGAAGTGCTCGACGCAATGGACGTACTGAGGGGGTACACGGCGTCGCATGGGCAGCAAGATGCCGTGCAAGCGCTCTGGGCGCTCGAACGCCGTATGACCAGTATGACGCCGCTGCTACTGTCGGACAAGGCGCAAGCAAAACTCGCGGACTACTTTGCCCCTAAATAAATGTCATTTTCGGTGAGTTTTCATACCCGTAAAATGTTTCGGAATTTGTTTTTTTGCATGCTAAAGCCAAATTTCGATTTAGCGAAATTTCAATGTAACGAAGTAAATTGCGAATTTTACCGACTTTGTTACATCGAGGTTTAACTGTATACAGATTTTTTTCTTTACAGATTTGTTTAAGAAAAGCCATGAAAGCTACACTTAAGCGGTTTGTGCGAGTGAGTTATACGGCCAGGGGGACACTATGTGGGTGGCTAATCTTTGCGATAAGTCGGATAATTAATTAAAATTCGTTAATTACCTTTTTAATTAGCAAAAATAGACATATGGTTCCAATTAGAAACTTAGAGCGTTATCGTAAACCACTAAATCAACTCCTTTTAAAACGACTTGAAGCTCGTGGGAAACTCGGGGGCGCACCAAAGTTACCACTCGTGAAGCAGGCGCAAAGCTAGCAGTGTCGGAACGCGATAATGATCTAATGATCCGCGTTTGCTAGCTTTGCGCCTGCTTCATAAGTGGTAACTTTGGTGCGCCCCCGATTTTCCCACGAGCTTCAAGTCGTTCTAATATTGATTGGGTAGTCTTCCAACGCCAAATAAATAGCCTGGCAAAAAAGAAAAACGTTTACAACTCTTTGTAATGCCGAATTAGACCGCAGCTCTTGAGGAGGAGGGGAGGGTGGTACGTTCCTCCCCCTTCTCCTCTCCTGCTCCCCTCCCACGGACAGGGAAGATGTACGCACACGGAGCGCTGCGTCTTCCCTGTCCGGGTCTTTTTGCGCTGTTTTTACAGTTTCAAAATGCAACACCAACTAGCCCAACTCACCACTGTGCTACTCCCATTTAGCGGGAAATTTTTAGCTAAATTTCCCGCTAAATTTAGTGAAAAATTCATCGCTAAATTTAGCGAGGAAGTATTCCCGCTCAAGTTATTGGTAAATATAGCGAAAATTTCCCCGCTATATTTAGTGGGGAAATTTAGCGGGTTAAGTTCCCCGCTAAATTTAGCGGAAAAATTGAAGTCACATGACCTCAACACAAATTCAGCTTCCCCGCTAAATTTAGCGTGGAAACTCTGACGTTCCATAATACAACGCGCGCGGTTTCGCCGAAGGCTACGCAGACGCCACTCAACCCAGAAACGGGCGCGTAACATCTGCTCTCTAAAATGTTTTTGGGTGGCTGTCAGTGTCCCTTTTTAAGTTCGACGCATGGCTAGAGAGTGGGAGACATCGCCGATTGCCGCGATTGACCAGCCCGTGCTTGACCTCGGCGCTGGCCAATCGCGGCGGTCGTCGATCTCGCCGACTTTCTCGTCGAGCGTCTAACTTTGAGCCCCCGCATAAACCCCCGTGCTTAGGGTTCGCTCATAAATGTTTTCGCCTTTCGTATGACTTTTTTCCTTTTTCTGTCAAGACGTCCGGCGTCATAAAGCATCGACATTTCTACTATGTGGTCGAGCTCCGTGGCCAACGGCTGTCCTTTCTCGCGTACCCGCAGTGGCGCTGGTGGGCGTGACCAACTCCAAGGGAAGCGGCGTCCCGAGCCCCCTGGCCCCGCGCAGCCACGGCATCGAGCTGCTGCGCCTGTTCCGCGGCGGCCCCAAGGCCATGTGGGCCCTGGCAGAGGGACTGCTCTGGACGCCCGGCAACGACGGGCTCTGCGGCGTCTCGCTCCACGAGAACGTCCGCTACCTCGTCACCGGCTCGCTGCATGGCGCCAAGCCCTGGGTGTCGGCGTGCGGGTTCGTGCGGCCGTGGAACTCGCTGACTCGCAAGCAGCGCAAGGGCTTCCAGAGACTCTACCAGCAGGGATGCCGCTGCTCGGTGAGCAGCACCGCTACGTAGCATTTCTATGCGGAGCGGAAGTTCGTCTGCTTCTTATCCAGGGGTCGGGGACGTCAGAAAGCCGAGCTCCGATTGGCTCTGAATGAAGGATAGTGGGTAGACCTCGAGGCAGCGGGCTTTGAGGTCTACCCAGTGTCCTTCAATCAGAGCCAATCAGAGCTCGCGTCGTTCTGACGTCACCGCAACCCCTCCAAAAGATGCAGACGAACTTGTACTTCGCAAAGCCTCGGTAGTGTGGTTTTGGCTAGGTGGCGCGAGCAGCCGCCCGATTAAAAGCCTTCGGCTCCATCTATCCATGTTAAGCCGCGGTCAGACTGGAGCCATACTGGAGCTAATCCATCGTACAAAAGACAGTCTGCAGGCACTGCCCGAAGCGCGTTCTTTCGTGTATCCCGGTTACGCGGGGCGTACCAGGACTGCCTGAAGAGTCTTTTGTCTTTGCACGATGTATGAGGGCGAAAGTTTTGCCTCCAAGTATTGCGGGGAATCGACCGTCGTTCTTGGAGGAGACGCGACGGTCGTCGTGTCGTCTGCTTGTACACAGCCGCTTGGAGACGGCACTCGCGTTATGACAATGTCCGAAAGATTCGAGAAGCTTCCTGCTCGTCAAACTTCAGTGTAAGGTCAACATTGCGTGGACGAAAGGCGAAAAAATATGCCCCGCCTCAAGCCCGGCACCCCACAAGGCCGCTTCCTCGCGCTGGCCTCCGCTAACTGACGTCACAAATTCGACACGACGGGCTACTTACCTAGGCTGAAGGTTGCCGGGTTTCCTTTGGCAGCACCACCCCTAGTTTAATTATGGTGCCTGGAGCGCGTCTCCGACTGGTCTGTTTAGCGTCCTATTCCGCCCATACATCAAAAGTGGTCCCAAAGTGGCAACAAATGACGTCACAGAAGCCGGAGTGTCATGCTGTTGCATATCGTGATCCTGGCGGTTGGTCGTAGAAATGCTGGCAAAAACCACAGGCGAACGCGAGTGTCTCTGTCGTCACGGCGTTCCAGGCGTCCCAACTTCCGGCTGCTTTAGCTTCCGTCGACTGCCGCATTGGACAGCGACCTGCAGCAGAACAGGCGTCTGCCACATACACTACCGCTTTGGACGCGTCCAGCTTTGCGACCGGCAACAGCATGACACTTCTATGACGTCATCAGGCGGAAATCGAGCGACCACTTTTTTGGACCCGGTAAACACACCAGTCGGAGACGCGTTCCAGGCACCCTAGTATAATCAAAGCCACTCGAACTTTAATGACGTCACAGTGAGATCGACACGGATTGAACACGAGTGCTCCGTGTCAGCGTTCGGCTGGAGGTCATGTCCAATCAGCGCGTCGAAAGGCGCAAGGCACGAGGCTGGGGTCAAAGTGCTTAGCGCGCGCCATGTCCGTCTGTGATGACGTTTCGCCGAGAAAGAGAGGAGGACGTTCGCAGGCCCCGAAGCCGAAGAGGCAAGGCGACACGGGCGCCGACGTCATTCGCGAGGACGCAACGTCTAACGGCACTGGTTTCCCCACCTCGCCGAAACGGCGCCCAGCGGAGGAATGATGAGTGACGCGGTGCTGCAACTTCCGGCCTACCTGGAATCCGAAACCGTAATTTTGACGAGCCCGCGATGCCCACCCCCAGATAAAATGACGACGGTGGAAGGAAGGAGGGGACCGCGGGGTCGTACGGGAATGCCTCACGGTACGCCCTCGCGCGTTCCTGAACGCGTGCCAAACAAAACGGAGGCTCTCTCGAATGCGCCTCGATCTCCGAGTGTTTTCAACCGCCCCATATGGGTGTCACGTGGTTCGTTGCACTGCCAGCGTCTCCGCTTGCTCTCCGTGGTTTTGAGTTGGTCCCTCTCTTAGAGCTAGGCTCTCTCGTCACGACGGGGGTTCGAGGACGCATAGGGTACATCATCAAGCGGGCATTTATTTGCGGATGCGCGGGATTCGACGGAGCGTGACGACCCTCTCGACTGACAGACGGGCGACGGAAGAGGAGGAGGAGTTGGTCTAGAGCCCCGAAGAATCATGCCTCAACTATGTGACGAAAAGCAGGATACAGCTAAGCGCGCGCATACCGCGATTTCTATTCGGACGTCTGAAGTACCTTCTGAGCTCAGTCGTAAGACTGACCTGTCGAGCGTTACGACTCGGCCGCCAACAAAAGGATGCACAAAGTGCGAACGTAATAAAGATAAGGGGAGATGCGGGTCGAAAACCGGTAATAGTTTGCTATAAACTGGTACAGCAAATGTCAAAACTGAAATGGCCAACCGCACTAAGTCATGCGCATTGAAGAGAGTCTTTTTCTATGAGAAGGGTCATTACTCTGGTATTTCTGTAAAGCTTCTTAACCACCTGCCTGTTTTTGAGTGCCTTTCCAAGGAATATGACTTTGACCAAATGTGGCGTGCTTTTAAGAAAAATGAGCATCGACTTAGGGAGCTTAGAAAACGAAGGAAACCGTGGGGAACTCTGTAGCGTCTCAGGTTTTTCTAGACTCGACTCCGAAGTTACAATGGTCTGGAACGGTTGATGAGGACACTGACTTTTTATTTAGTTTTTAGTTAACTGATTATTACTTGGCCAAATTTAGAATAACGACGAACACGCGATGTTCGGGTCAATCACGGCCGTTGGCCCCAAGTCGTCTCGTTGTGTACCGTCTCCTGTCCACGCGCGTCCCCGCCGACAACCTCCGGACAAACTACGAGTCGCCCAGCAACAGTTCGAACACATGCTCGAGCTGTGCATTGTTCGCCACTCGGAGAGCCCCTGGTCTTCGCCTGTCCACGTGGTTCCCAAGTCCACACCACGCAAATCACCGCGTGCCACTCAACTGTAGCGTCTTGAATCTGAAGCAACCCAAGACGCTACAAGTTCGAGTATTCTCAGAATAAAAAAAAAAAAAAAAAAAAAAAAAAGACAGAAACGAGCATTTCTTAGATAAAAAAAAAAAAAAGAGAAGTAATAACCGCATAGACAAACTGGCTGAGCTTAGCGTGAATATAAATTAAATATAAATACTGCGAAGAAAGACTAATTTAATAAACTGAACGAGAGGATAAAACCAACTCCAAACTTTTCTGGAGGTGGCGGTGCGACGACATTCAGTTGAAACGTTTTGCACTTTATACGAGCTTACTGGCACTAGTGGGACTCAAGGATCCTGGCACGCAACGCCACTGGCCAAGAAACTCCTTTGTTGCGGTGTAATTTCAAGGACAAAAGCGAGCGTTTTCATTCAATCTCTCCTTCGCAAAACTTGATGATATAGCTGAGAGGTCGCAGTACCGCCCACTCAGTGACAATATTTGAAAGCGGCTCATAGATTGGACCCGAGCACTGCGTGGGCACTCGATTTGGGCTCGTGATAATCGATAGCTCGAGAAGCATTCGGGTAGTGGCCCGTGTCCAGTCGTTGCAACGACGACAATAGCCCAACCATAACAGTGTCTCATTGTTAACAACGTCTCAGCGCGTGTCCCGTGCCTTACCAACCCCAACACGGTTTTCGTAAGGGTTTTTCTTTTACTACGCAACTTAATGAATTTCACTATGACCTAGAGGGCAAATAGATTCTGGATTTTTCGGATTTTCGAAAGGCGTTCGATACGGTGTCCCACTGGGGCCCTGCAACAACTTTTTGACTGGTTTTTAATTTGCAACGAACCTTAGCGCACTGAACGTAGTAACTTAAAAAAAAAAAAAAAAACTTCTCAAATTTCGCTTTATTTTAAAAGTTATAGGCAAATTAGAATTACAAAAACAAGCAAAAAATAACCTCCTTCATGACGTCGTAGGTCCTGGCTTGAGTGGCCGTGAACTAGAGGAGCTATAGTGAGCTCACCGAGGGCTCACGACTGCCGCACTCCGTGTCGACGGCTCGAGAGGGCGCCACTAAAGCACGTGTTGGATAGGCTTTATGAAGCGGGCGGCCAGGGCGGCTCGCATTACATTTGCTGCGAGATTAAAGACTAATTCGGCATAACACTTCGTTGGCTACAAACGACAGCAAACACGGAGTAAATATCAATTCAGAACGGGAGCCACTTCGCGCTGCCATATCGCCAAATGGCCAAATCGTCAGCCAAGCCCGCGCCGAAAGCCTTCGGAACGCTCGGATCCTCGAGCCGGTATACGACCGCAGCGCCGCCGCGTGCATCCGGGATCTTTCTACGCTCGCCGTTCGTCGGAGCCTCATCCCACTAGCCCTTTCTAGTATGCGCCGTTTTTTCTGCCGCTGGGTGGCGGGTTTGTTGACGGGTCTTTTCTTGTTTCCGTACTTTATAAACTGCATTTGTTTCTTTTCTGATATAAAATACTGAACAAAAACTACTTTCATACATAATTGAAACGGTTTGCGACACTTATATTTTGTATCTCGACTAAAAAAAAAAAGCTTTTAGCTGCTCTGACCAGTAGTAAGCCCAGGACCAAAGACGTCACATATTGCGCGCTTTCGGCAACGTGGGTCGCCCTCGTAGGTGGAGGAGGTTTCCGTGTCGTCCGGTTAAAATGACTCACTGATATTTATGGCCGATTCGTCTGGGCCCGCACCGCACCCGTCCAGTGCAGTGAACTCTTTCCACTTTAGTACACGAAAGACTGGCGAGGAGAGAAGGAAGCTTCCCTCTCCCCTCTAGCCTTCCATGTACCACGAACCGCACTGCACCGGTGCGATGCGGGTCCAGACGAATTGGCCATTAGTTACTCTCTCCGTGCCCGCTGGCTTGCCCGAACCCCAAGAGACGTGGAAACTGCAAAAAAGGTAGACGCTTAAATATGATCACAGGGCCCCTTTATGTCAACGGTCCATGTCCGAAAGAAAATGTGTGGTATGGAACGTGGTTATATACGCATTTGAGCACTTGACCGCAGCGCCCTCTCGTCTATAAACGTTGAGCCAATGCATGCTAAGTTTAACGCGATTATATACGAATTTGACCGCAGCGCCCTTTCCTGTATAGACGTTGAGTGGCTACATGCAACGTTTCATCCATGACATCCCCAGCTCTTGAGTTACTACCACATCTCAGAGCCCCCCACTCGTCCCGCAGTCGTGGCCGAGTGGGATACTTGAACGAAATTTGAAATACATCCGTCGTGTTCAAAAATAGGTTGAATATGAAAATGACAATGGCACGTTTGTATTTTGAGCCTGGTGGCTATATTTTTCGTTATAAACGGCCCACCCTGGCAAGCGCTCTGAGAAAGCCCAGCGGAGACCACGTGACATCCAACGCAATCGTGACGTAGGTCGTCTCAGAACGAGCAAAGCTACGGCGAGGCTGACGTCGAGGGGATGGCCTACTCGTTCCAGCCACCGAAGCGGCTGCTTTTGTACGAATTTTGAGTGACGGGTTAATCTTCTGTAATCTTGTAGGGGGACAATAGCGATTTCCGCGACACACAAAAGGCATTCTCGGGAAGAGGGGAGTTCCTCCTGCCCCTCTTCTCTCGTCGTGGCCGGAGGCGAGACAACCTCCGTCACTAGCTGACAAGGTTCCTAGACGGGCATTACAAGCGAGGAGTTAGCGACATCCACCAGGTGCTCTTTGCTAATCGTTTAATTCGTTTTAAAATTCCTTTTCGTGACTTTCTTAACAAGATATTGGTATGCTCCATGTGATGCTGCTCCTTTGAACACATATAGACCAGAAAAATGAGGGTCGAAATTTCGTTGTAGTATCCCTACTCCGCCGATTTTTTAGCTACGCCAACTAACTATATTTTCTGACTCCCTGGCCTTTACCCTTTCTGGTGTGCTATTTAGTATCGTGAAATTCATAATAGTTACTGCGAAATCCGCAAATGAAAATGATGCAAAAACCAACATTCAAATATTCCCGCCAGGGCCGTGACGTCAGTGGAAGGTTAAGCTTGCCGGTCGGGCGAGCAGCCTAAAAAATAGAATATGCCAATCATTTGTTCCGTGCTGGAGCGCGGGGACTGGAGCGAGCTTCCAAAGCATTCATTTGACACCATGAAACTGCTTCGAATCAGTTGGGAACAAATTGTACAGTCCAAAGAGTGAACCCCAGCACTTCCACTGACGTCACTTTTTCATTGTTGCCAGTAGAGACTTTTAGTTTGAAAAACACGGTGAGGACCAAAATTGTAAATTCAATAACTTCGTGAAAAAAAATTATTGTGACCTAATATTTGGGATACTATTTTGGCGATGTTGTTTGGCGAGTTTAGCAAAATTTGAAGCAAATCGGGGACCATAAAGAAATTGGCGGAGTACCCCTTTAAGGCGATGGACTAGAAATCCATTGGGGTCTCCCCGCACAGATTTGAATCCTGTCGATTACGCAAACATGTTTTTTTTTTTTTTCTTTTTTTAAGAAGGCAGATGGGATGGCAATCGATGTGAGCACGGACGCCGGACAAGGCTACACCCTAAGGAGCTTTGCCCCTAAAACCAGTAGAAAAGTCCAAAGTCCTTGCAGGGCCCCTTTAATTAAAACTGTGCGCGCGTGAGAGAGAGAGAGATTGCACTTGCGTGTTCTCAAACCCGAACGAAGCGAGTATGCGAGGTATTCGAGTGATTCGAAAACTGGACCAGAAATAGCGGCGGGAGAGAGAGAGAAGAATGTGTGCGAGACGCAATGGGCGCCGACGGGGACGAAGTGTACACAACGGGGTATTTGCGTCCGCTAAAACAAAACAAACGGGGAACGGAAGCGCCGGGGGGCTCGCGATCAAAACCACCCGTCCAAAGGGGACTTTGCAGCGGGGGATACGAGAACGGAGGAGAAACTGGGCGAAAACGAAACCCGCTCGACGGAAAACCGAAACTACCGGAATGAAAACCGTGGTTTCGTCTTGCGACTCTCCGTTTCGACCCTGCCACGTACTGTCTTCTGTCGGCAGACAACATTTCACATACAATAGCATACAGGATGTATTTTGTTTAAATCTGTCCAAAGGTTTTTTTTTTTTTTTTTTTGCTTGGAGTTTGTGTTTTTTAGTTGTGTTCTCTTCCGCACACCGTGATAATCTCTTTTTCTAGGGTACTCGCGTTCCCTAGCGGACATCACGATAGCATATTTCGTTTTAGTCTGTTTAGCATTAGTTTGTTCAGCATTTTGTCCCCTAGGAAACTCGCGTTCCCTAGTTGCGTTCCGTAGTGGACACCACGGTAGCATATTTTCTTTTGTTCCGTTCAGCATTTTTTCCCTAGCCTAGCCGACACCACGACCCGATACAGCCAATCAAGCTGCGCCACAAGTGCGTCGTCATGGTGCCGGCTAAACCAATCGCGTACAAGACAAAGCGCGGGTTCACGCCGCACTCACCGCTCATTCACACTGGAAGCGGATCCGCGTTCGCAAAGCGGTTGCGAACGCAGTTGTATAAAAATCCAGTACAATTGCACGCGCACTCGATATCATCGAGTGCGCGTGCAATTGTTTTTTTCTGAGCGCGCGCTGATGGCGAGCTGCCAACGGTTCTTTTGCAACGTGCATTCCGCACCATCAAGAGTGCCGGTCCACTCTGCCCGATTGGTTTAACCCAGCGTTAACCGATATGGAAAACGCACGCACACGCTAGAGAAGAGGCGAAATGGGACATTAGTGTTGGTTAATTGACTCGCACGTCTTCCTTAGCTTTGGGCGTCAAACCGAAACGGCTTTGCTCGCGAAGCGGCAGAGTTCGCATCACCGGCACTCTTTGCGCGATTAGTTTCGGTTTCAAGCCCCATACAAAGCAGCCATTTCTCGCCCGTAGCGCCCACTAGAACTTTTTTTGTGTGTGTGCATATTTCACGGCACTGCTAGACCATACTGGGGTGGAGCGTCCATTTTACAAATACGTTATGCCCTAAACATGTAAAAAACAAATTATAAGTTGAATCTTTTTAGGTAATAACAAACTAATTAACCAATTTCGCCTCTTCACTGGTGACCGCTATGATCACCAAATGAGGTAAATAAAAACCGTCATGCAAGCTTCTTTTTTTCTAATTCTGGACAGACTTAAAAAAAAATACACGAAAACTTTCCCGCATTTGTGACTATCCTGTGTATTTTTTAGCTTTTCTTTTTTGTCTTGGCAAAGCCTTTTTTTTTTTTTGTATTATGATGGTCACGTATTTCTTCACCTTTGATGTCAAGTCACGTCGCCTACTCAATGTCTGATAGGTCACACATAAAAAAAAAAAAAAAAAAACAAACATTGTGGATCAAAAATAATAAAAACACAAAAACAAGCTACTTAGATGCAAATGAAAATTATGCTCAAGGAGGTTGTATATATGCATAGTAATGTAAAAAAAAGTGCACAAAACTTGTTTTAAACAAAACGTTTTTTTTTTAAAGTAACATGCTATTTGTGCATTGTATCAATGTACGGACTGCAGTATAAAACTGAGCAGAAAAAAAAACAACAACAAAAAAAACGCTGATCATTCAGAAATGTACGCAAGAACTGCTTTATTTAAGAAACGAAGTTGTAACACAAGACCCTTGCACACACCAACCGGTCCTCAAACCTTTCGATTAATCTTTGTGAGAATAAAACAAACAATATTTTGTAAAAAAGAAACAAAAAAAAAACTATGTTTAAGAGTTGAACATACGGAATATTTTGAACTGTTCAATTACACTGCATCACTAGGCATTCACTTTTTTTTCTTCAAAAGCTTCCAAATTATGTTGCAAGTAGACCTGGGGTTCCCCAGAGTACCTTCAGGAGATCCCCAAGCTCAAACATTACCTTGGCTGCCTGCCTTTGCCATCAAGTAAAGCTTTTTTTTTTTTTTTGAAGTTTTAGGCACTATTTATTTGAGTGTAATTATGTACCAAACACTTGCTGGCATATGCAATGTTGTTTACGAGCTGCCTAAATGCATTGGTGCCAAGATCGGAAGGTGCTCCTGGGCTATCACCGAAGAAAGATCAGTGTTCCTCTAGATAGAAATGTTTCAGAATCCCGCTTCAGAGTGTGACAGCCGGGGAGTGTCGTAGCTCTACATAAGTGTGTACACATTTGCCTTTATACACAATCTGCCTACGGTTGGATTTCATAAAAGAAGTGTTCCAAGAAAGCACAATGCGGAAGTGTAGTTGGACTTAATTGCGTCCCGCTAAATTTTGTAGGGATGCAAGTCCTTCAAATTACACTGTCGACCATGTGGTGCTTTCTTAAAACTTTTATTTGAATTCAACTGATTTGAACATAGGTCAGCTGTATTCGGCAGAATTCAGCGCGCCTCCCGAGTTCATAAAAGCTCGTAAACAGACTCGCAGCGCAGCTCAAGCCGCGCTGGGCGATCTCTATCTCCCGACTTTATTTGTAGGATTAATGATACATTTAATTTTTGTATAAATGCATTGTCTGTATAGTCTCTCTTGGATTAAGAACAGCAGGAGAAACTCTTCCCACGAAGCCCGCCAGTACTCTTTCAGCTTAGCCGAGCAAACAGTGGAGAGGAAGAAACTACCAATCACAATGAGCAGAGTGGGGAGGTAATTGACCTTTTATTCTCAACCTTCCACAGATCATGGGCATGGAGGTACTGGGGGTTTCGTAGAGCTGTAATGAAAAGGCTTTTGCCCTCGGCCTGCCTTGTTGCTCGAAAAGGACAATGAATGATGCCACGCTCCGTTTTATGCAGGTCCGTCTCCAGCCCGGACCGAACACGCAGTGTGAGTGGGAAACCGCCTTCAGGGGCGTCGAGGACTGTCAGGAGCAGTACGCCATGTGTGTGCCCCAGGCCAACAGCGGGTGCACTTGGCTCGGAGGAACCCCTTACAGGTGAGCGCACCGCCGGCCCTTACCCTCGCCAGAAAGCGTTGACTGAGAGACGCAAGCTGCAATGTTTCTTTTCTTATCTTAGAAACAATGTATTAATTGTTAAAAGGGAATAGTTAATTGTTATTAATTGCTAAAGTACCGCAGTCACAAAGGGGATTGTTCTTGCCAGCTGGTTCACAGCTTTGAAACGTAAAAGTGCCGAAAAAAGACAAGGACTAAAACAGAGACACAACACAAGGTGTCTTGCGTTGTATCTCCTTGTCATTTTTCGGCGCTTTAACATTTAAAAATTTATCTTTTTGCCTGTGGTAACATACGCCCCTCACAATGCACAATGCCCAGAAAGCAAATTTAGCACAAACCCCAGATTAATATCATGAAAGCTAAACAAAAAGGAAGGACGAGGACAGGCATGTACAGGCTTTCAGTTCACAATGTTATGAACTGAAAGCCTGTACACATTTGTGCTCATTTCTACTTTCATTATATTAATTTACTTTTTTTTTTCATTTTTACTTTTTTTACTTTCATTATTTTAATATTTATGTCAACATGCTCATTCTACTCTCTCTATACATATTAAATTCATTTCTTTCTTCAGGAAAAGTGTTCACTACATCAGTATTTTCACTCTTCACACTGCGGGTGTTCGTTTTCTGGGTTAAGGATAAAAAATGTAAAAAACTTACATTTGGGGTTTTTAGCCCTGGGGCTAAGTTGAGGGCCATGGAGGCCACCAGAAAAGAGGCGATACTATTTCGATTCTGCAACTGCATTATACCCCCAAAATTAAATTTGTTTTTTAAATTGAAACTTTTTAGCTGCTTATTTAACTAAATAACAAAGTTCACACATCTCATAACTCTCATCTTAAGCTCAGGATTAAATAAAAAGAAACACTAATGCAAGTTAACTTTTTTTTTAAATTCTGTGCTCTTAAGAAAGCACCCTGTATCTTAATATCTGAAATGTTTGTATTAGTTTTAAAGTCGCACCAACTCTGCTTCACTATATCTGTGTCCACACTATATAAGGTTTCACTATGCAGCAAGGATCGGCCTTGCAAGATCATCAAATGATCAAAGAACAAAACTAAGTTTGCCACAGAATACAGGGCCAATCATTTGTCAAAGACACTTAGAATTGTTACTGCACACTCGCACACAAAAGTCATCTACTTGCAAGTAAGGCACACCTGTGCAACTTCAAGTATGCACTCTTGTAGCAAGCTGGTGATATGGGAAATTGATTTTATAAAGCTTGCAAGTTTCCTAATGTATCGCCAAAATATTCTATAAAACCCACCCCCTCCCTTGAGCCCCAACATTTTGAGAACTTCCAGCTGCATTTAATTGGAAGTTGTAACTCCAACTTAATATAATTTTCTGCGACGGAAATTAAAAAAAATCTACATTCTTCTTTTTTGTTTTTTATTTATTCATGTTCCTGGTCCCCATCTTGCACTCGCCAAACTCGTAGTGTTACATAGTGTACGCACTTGCATCTGTTACGTGCAGGCAAGATAGAGGAATGTCCGGCTCGCCTTTGTTGTGGACTCAATATTTTAAGCGAGACGCGTGCCGAAATGACATGCGGGAGCTCAAGCTGCCGGGCGTGTCACGTCCAAAAGGATCAACTGTCGAGCCTGTCGAGCACATACACGTTGAGTAAGACATTTCCAGTTCGAAGTAGGACCGAAACTTCTTGGGCATGCAACACGGCAGCACATGACCAACATGACTTCGTCAACGCAACACTGACAACACCACCAGAAACTAAACAGAAGGGAACACGAAACAGCTACCATGCGACGGTTGCTGATGGGAGACGTGGACATAATAAAGACGCCATTTTGACGTTTTACAAAAGTGACGTCATAGACGTCAAAATAATTTCTTGGGTATTTTGGCGGTGGACGTCGAAGTAGTTGTTGCCTTTTGCACTACTGGTCCTGAATATGAAATCTTCATAGGCTAGTTGGTGAGCCTATGATACGTACCAAATATTTAAACTTTTAGATCCTAGCAATTAAAAAAAGATTTAGTTTTGAATTTCCTGATCCTTGTTTCATGACCAGACAGTTCGACCATACTGACGTGACCAGCCAGTGGCCCGTGCTGCATGGCTTGCTCGCCATGCTCCCGCATAGCAAGCGTGCTGGAAAACCCGATTTAATTGTGCAGCTAATGCTTTGTGCACAGCAGTGGACGGTGTGCATATAAAACAGTATGCGAAAAATATACTGCTTCATATGTAACCGATTATGACGTAAAAGTTGATTCAGATCTGATTCTATGCGTTGACGACGCTCGTAAGGCTGCGGTGAAAACTGTGCAGAAGTGACAACCCTGAAGGTCTCTGACGCTCGCAAACATTGAAGCATCCGGGTGTAAACAGCACCGTGACCACTTGTAGCTGAACTAGTTGGTGATTTGTGCTTCCGAAGATGCCTTCCTACGTTCAGCTGGCATCTTCGGAAGCGTAAACAACACGTAACATCACACTCTTAATACCATCCACAAAAAAAAAAAAAACCCTTTAAGTTTAGGTAATTTTATATGAATATAAGGCAGTGTGGGAACATCGTCCAAAGATGGTTCAAATAATATTCACCACTCAAAGCACCGAAACAAGGAAGAAGGAAACCAATGTAGCTATTTTCTTTCTCGTCTCGGGATTTATGTTGCATCAACAAACCAGGTTGTCGGCATCCTCTTGCAGCTTTCAAACGACAACACTGTATATGAGGTTCACATATCAAAAAGTACATTCCCTAAATTCATCACCTTCTGGATTCCTGTATAGTGAGGCTCGTGTTTGTACTTGTATTTTTAGGTGGTAAAAGCCCAGGTGCACCAATTATACGATATGAGAAAATCAAAAATGCTTTTATTGCAACTGCCCTTGGAGGAAGCCAATTCATGTTTGTTTGTTTTTTTTTTTTTTGTAAAAACTATAGTTTTAGTTTACTACGAGAACTGGGAAAGCTCGCATGGCAACTTTTCTTCGAATATTCTAACAAAATATTTTATCACGAAATACGGTGCGCGAGACCGTGCAAGCACCCCGGAAAAGGCGACTTCTGTCGACGATTCGAAAGAGAAAGTAGAGTTTGATCGTAAACTCGGCGCAGTCGACTGCGAGAAACCAACGTATCAGGCCAGCATTTTTCTCTTCTCCAGTGGCGACGAATCGTGTTTAGGATTAGAGGCTGGCCGGTATAACGTCAGTGTCAGCTCTGCGAAAATCGCAGAGGCTGTAAGGATGGCGGGGAGGTCTTTTAGTTGGTCCCGCCTTAGGCACGAGCAGACTGTCGCGAGACGGGTTAGTTTTACCATACCGATGGCTGGTCATTGCCAGAGCCATGTAGCTATAGAGAGAGTTTGGCCATTCATTGGGAAGTATAGGAGGCAAATGAGGAGGCGCCATTGGCCGAAAGCAGACTGGACGTGCTCCGGGGCATCTTCACAAATTCAAATGTGGCCAACCAGAAGCCGGAAATAATACCATGGCAGTGGTCGTGAAAAACTAAATTAATAAGTGTATCGTAGTAACTTTCGGTGACTGAAAATATGGTGCATGTGATGTTTCAATCACTGTCATCCAAAATCACGGTGGAAGAGTGCGCCAAGGCCCGGGAATCTGCCGTCCGAGCAGTCACACTCTGTCTGAACATAACAGAGCTCGAGCGGCACATTCGTTTCTTACATCTTTTTGCAGTATCACAATCAAAACATCACATGCACCGTATTTCGAATCATGAAGAGTTACTACATTTAACCCTTACGCTCTTATTAAAACTGTTTCTCGCTACCACCATTGGGGGATTCTTTTCGGCTACTGGTTGGCCAAGAGAGCATGCCAAGCCCTCTATCTGCACCAAGCTCTCTATCTGCATCTGGCGCACACCCTGGCTCTGCCCGATCCTCCCATTGACCAAACTCTTTCCATACACAGCTCTGGTCATTGCCATAGTAATCCTGGTCAGTAGGAGTGAAACTGCAGGTCCGGACACTTGGTTTGTGTGCTTGGTCCAGAGACCAGTGGTGCAAAGCTACCATCCATGAAATTACGACTCAACGCCTCCGAGTCAGAATCCCGTCTAAGCACTGCAAGGATATTGTGCGCACTTGCAGCGTTTGCAGGTGAAGTTCGTTGTTTGCGATCGATTCCCGACTCGACATCGCCACGTGGGGGGGGCACCAGTCGTTCACCGAGGTCGCGGTGCAAGCGACGCTTTCATGCACTCGTTTTACATGTGAACCACTGTAGTGTCAAATCGTCTGTAGACGACTTGGGTAGATGTCATGGTGTCATAATTAGTTGAGCAGCCATTGCAGTACGAACTTTGATGAGGCTTTTGCGTCTCATGAGCCTCGAGCGTGCACGTGCAGCTGAGGCACGAAGGCAACATGTGCATGCCGAGGGCCGGACGTCCGAAAGAGACATCCTACGATTGTCGTCCTGTCAGTGATCATACGTGTCAGTTGTAGAACCAAGCTCGAAAACTATGCAAGCGTTTGTCTAAACTGACTGCGGGTTTCTCTGCTGCAGGAACTGCCTGAAACGCAACAGTGCGGCTTTGGTCGAACGAGAGGAACCGTGAAGCCATCTGTGACCCCAGCAGCAGCCTCAAGCGTACAAACGATACCTGTACATAATGTACATAGCACGCTCCAACTTGCCCCCCCCCCCCCCCCCCCCCCCCCCCAGATGAAAATCTTTCTTGCTCATATTCAAGAAAATAAAGCCTTCTTTTTTCACGCTCCTCGATTCGTAGCAAGTTCGCGACACAAGAAGTATCATCTATAAATAAGACAGATGTCGCAAACTGAAACTCGGCAGGGAGCGAATCCGGGATGTGGACGTTCTCGATATCGATCTGCAACCTCATTCGGAAGTTAAAATCCCTTTTATGAATATTTGAATGTCAGCAGCAGACACAAGCCTGCTACGTGACATGGAGCACATAGATGGTCCAAGCCGTCATCTCACTGTTACACAAGCAGCATGTAAACTTGCGTAAACGTTCGACATAGATCTTTCTTTTTCTATTGTCTCTTTCTATCAGGATGGCAAACACATCGGCTAACCAGAATGCTTGATTGGCTCAATTCTCTCCAGTTCCAGCAGATTTCGTGAAATGCGGTACTCCGAGGACACCGAGCGGAACGAGGTGCAGCGCATCGGGGAGTGGGGGTATCTTAGAAGTGTCCGTATGGTGTTGTAATGCGTCTCTGACCTTATGTCCTGGCGGCTGCACAGCAACAGAGGCGGCTAAGGCAGATGCATGCTCTGCTCTAGATCACTCTTTAGCTTGCTTCAGCGCTTCAGCTCGATGACAGCATGCATCAGCACAGCATTCGCTCGTGCTTTTAGCCTGAACTTTCGGGACCAATCACCAAGATCGCTACATAAGACAGCACAGTACGCCGGCACCTGTGATGTAATTTTTTGCCTCTTCGGAAGTTGAGAAGAGCTCTCAACACACGGGCGGTATTCGTGACTCCGGCGACCTGTAGGGGTTGCCACTTCTTTACAAATACTATGGCGGCCGGAAAACTGGTTGTGCCGGACCATCCACCAGCTCGACGCGCAACGCTCCAATTTAAGCGGGCGAGTATTGGCTTCAAAATGGTTTGCCCCGATTTGTATCTGCTGCTTTCAAAACCCGTGGCTGCATTTCGGCACAAGCGAGCTTCCAGGCGCTTAGCCTTTTTCAAGGAAGCGACGAAAGGACTACCTGCTTTCCCACCGCGCTAATGAACGTCGATAAATGCAAGACGACTGGTTCATGTGGTTACGTAAATTGCATCCACAGCAACCCTGGCAATACGACGGTAACGAAAGGACAACCGTTCGCCCTACACAAGGTGAGAAGCAATGTAAGTCGCACTTAATTCCTTAGGCCATTATGGGTCACAGTTTTCCCTGCTGTCCTGTGGTAACTACCGTTTTCATTGCTGCGGACACAACCAATGCAACTTCCCTCGATTTACTTCGGCGACCATTGCACAACATGGCAGTCATGGAAGCTACAAGAGACAAGCGGAAATCGCAAGAGGACCTGTTCCGGCCAGTTCAGCGTTTTCCCGCTAGGTGCCGTCCGTTTTGCTGAAGTCGCGAATAGGATGCTAAACGCACCAGTAGAAGACACTTTCCAGGCATAGTGGTATCGGCGGTAGTTTGTTGCACGTCGCACTCACTCACCATCTCCGTGTGGTTGGGGAAAAAGGACTGTTCGACGAGCGGGAAGTTCTCTCTGCCCAGGCGACGCTGCAGGTTTTGCAGCTGGGTGAACTGAAAGATACATAAATGGTGCAAAATGGGTTAGCCGTGAATTGGCAGAGAAGAAGGCGGCGAGACAGTGCTTACAGACATAGCATCCAATCTGCAAAGTTCGAGAGCCTAAAACTGGGAACCACATTTCAAGTGGAAATACAAGCAACAACCAAGCTTTGTTCATCACTGATGTTTGCAACATGTCGACGAGACACTGTCTCGTAGAAACAAATGACCGCAAACGACATTATTTTCGTGAGCTCAGCATTTCGCAAATTCTGGGATGTAGATTTTGATGATAATAATTCGAGGGCACAATATTTCGCGATTTGGAGTTATATGCTATGTGTTCGGTACCATGAGACAATATTTGCGTAATAAACTTTTTGCAATATTTTCCAAGTCGCGAAGTTTGCAGAAATTAGATTCTTGAAAAAATTAAGTCGTTTGCAGTAATCACCCACCACTGCTTTTACGTCTCTTGTCTAAACCATCAGCACAAGCTTAACATTCCAAGTTCTACAGCGACAACATTCCGTCCTGGGGTGTGCGGATTCGCACACCCCAGGGCTGGAACCACTCTGAGCTTTTAAAATCTCTAGCTGCCATTACCAATCATTTTGTTTGAGTGTTTTTAATTTTGTGTTTCAGTAATTTAACTATAACATAAATTTATATCTATGCAGGCTGAATTTGCATTGAAGCTGAAACTAGCCCAGTGCTTTCTAAAAAATCTAGCGAATTTGTGGGAAGGATATCTCGGCAGCTACATAGACGACTCGTGGATGTCCTCTAGACGTCCACGTTCTTGACTTTTGTGGACGCCAAGAAAATATGTTGTAGTTTTACTTTTTAATTCCGTTATTTAGAGATGTCAACGAGACGTGGCATGTATACATTCAAAATAGCCAGCCAAGAAATAAAAAGAAAGCTTTCCACTTTAACTGCTGGGCTTTCTGGCAAGAGCCAGACAACCATGCAGCGAGTTTTAGCTTAATTTGATTTCCACGTGTTTGTTGTCAAAAGTTTTTTATAAGCACCTTTTCGTGAAAAACATGAAGTCAGCAACATATCTGTTCTTCAGTTCACGTGAAAAAAACTTTCACTACTTCAAAAACCAGATATAAAGCTCGATATAGTAAATGTGATCTCTGGCAAAGTGTCCATTGTCACGTTTTCATGTAGCAACCAACAGACGGCAAATACCATGGTTCGCAAACCACACACGGATAAAGATTATATTTGCATGACACCCTAGAAAGCCTCCCTTACAATACACTTTGAACTTACCTCTCGGACAAAACTGACACAACTCCAAATGTCTAAACTCAGCTGCAGTATCCAACCTGATCTTAGAAAGAAATGACATATTACCCACATCTAGGCACATGCAAATAAGGGATTTTTAGTTCCAAGCGAATTTGAAGCGAATAGTGGTTTTGGCCGAATATTTTTGAATCAATTTTTGAGTTCTAGTTTCTTTAAGTCTTTGACTACTGTTGCACCACACTTAAGAGGGGGCGCACCTCAGAGCCCCATAGAGAATACATGAGGTTTTTCACCAAATTAAAAAAATTCTCACATAATAACGGCTGCGCGGATCTTCTTGAAAATTTCGGCTTTAAAGACATTGAGTCATTATCGAGACACTAAGCGCAACAAATGTTTCATCATAAATTTAATTATATTCTTTAAAAAATCGTGAAAATGGTCAAAATCGGCTAATTCGGCACTCTTGCGTTCGGAGCGAATTTACAAAATTATCTAAATTCAAACATAAGCAGTATTGCGCTTAATGTCTTCTAAATTTATTATGGAATCGAATAATATTCAAATTTTTCATGTAAGTCGATTTGTTCCATAACTACAACAAATATAAAGAACCAAGGTGTCGGTGCTTGTTTTCGTCGTTTTTAAGGTACCTCTCTCTCCCGTGCGGTGGCGCTCGCTGTCCACGAAATGCGAAATCGTCCGTCCGGAGATCGGCCGGATCGGCACTGTGCGAGGTGTTCTTCCGCGGCCGCATTCCGCGCCCGTATCCTGTTTCATTCTGCACGCCGAGGCGTCAGTGTGCGTGTCTTGCTTTCCTGGTTCTCGCTGGGTAGGTCTCCGTGTTTTCGCAAGTGGCAAATTCACCTTGGAGCTATGGGTCGAAGACAACCGTCCTGTGGCAAGCGGACCGCGAGGTGTTCCACAACCTCGTGGTCCGTCAACGCGTTGTGCTTGTTTCTACTTTTTTTTTCTTTTAAAAACGGGCTTTTTTTTTTTTTTTGACGCAAAGTTTTGTTTTATCGTTATCCTTCACACAAACGTCCTTCGGCCTTGGGGCCGTGGAAATCGGGGATGAAGCGTGCACAGAGTAGATCGTTCTTTGCCTCCTTTTTATTTTTCACGGACGTCCTGTGACCTCCGTACGGTTCGTGGTCACCGCAATCTAACGCGGGGAAAAACGGGTCGCCTGCTCTGTAGTCAGGGTAATCCTAGGGGAGGGTGATAACTCGCTGTTCTTCTGGAAATTCACATATCACCCAAAAAGGTGACATGGGTAATGATTACGGTATGTTTTTTCCGGTGTTTATTTTTGAGCGAAAATCGGTGCATGTTTTTCGGTGCTTATTTTTTAATCACCAGTGTATTATGGGTTGAACGTCTTGTGATGACGCTAAAAAGCGTTGATAACCAAAGAAAAATGCGATTGGACAAGAACATTTCAAATTTCAAATTTCAAATTTCCAATTCTATTCACATATCCATTACGCTCTTCTCGTGGGAGCATCTATCCTGACGAAAAATGCCTAAGTCATTGAGCTGTGAACGCATACTCAGTGTACAATCTTTCGGCCTAGAGAGGTATTGCGCACGCTCGAACGCGCTTCACAGCCCAGTAGACGAAGTTGGTGGCACCCAGAAGGCGAGTTTTTGAATGGTCTGTAGTAGGCAAAAGAAACAAATAACAATCAACGCATATCAGCTCTTCAAGCGAAGAGGCGCGTTTCTAAAGTCAATGGTTCCGGACGGCACTAATGTTGTTGGTGTTGTCGTAAGATGACGTCAGTTCATACGAAATGACGTCATCTTACGTGATCACGCTGCACGAAATGACGCCATCTTACGTGACCACGTAACACGTCATCTTGTAAGTCAACCTCTCCCCACAGCAGCGCGCTCCGCGCTTTCCGGGCCCGTGCAGTGCTGTAGTCGAAAGCAAGCTCCCTATGGCAAGCGAAAGCTTCTGAAATCTCACATTGAGAATACCCGCAAGCGACCGTCTGTGGAAGCTTCGCACGTTGAGGTTTTTGTTGAGATCGAGCCATCGTGTTCCATTAACTATAGTTGAAGTTATCGTTCAATAAAGCCCTAAAAAATATGAATGTAGTTGGTGTAGACATCAAGATCTAATCAAAAATGCGGTTTGACTTCGTTTAATTAACGTGTATATACAAGTGTAGAAAAAAATGAGTTATTTGTGCATAGATGTTTAAAAAAGTGTTTATTATTCGACATAGGACTTTGGGAGAAGGATGTGTTCAGATTTTTCTTCATGAGCGCAAATATACCTGAGGCAATAAATAGTGACGATTTCATCGTCCCAGGGGTGAGCAGGTGATTTCTTGCTCGAAACAATTAATGATGCCATTTCATAAACCAAGTTCTGTGACATATGCTTTTCCAATGTCTGGTCACTATTTTGTAAACCTTTCAGTCCAAACGAGTATACTACTGTTTGTTTTTGTTAGCTTAGGAGGGGGTCACAGAGCCTATCTTTTTGTCTTCCTCTAGGACAGACGTACAGAGTTATACCGCAACACGCATCTGTGGAGCACACAGAGCTATCGCTCTCCTGTTGGCGGTACAGTAGCAGACGACACAACGCAGCTCCGTAGTCTATCGAGGGCACGGCTAGCCGCGGCCCGTAGCGCGACCGTTCAGACTAGGGAAATGGTTTTGAAGAACCGAGAAATGGTATCTTGTGTACAATAATCACATGTCGTTAGTATACTAGTATTCTACTTGCTAAGCCAAATAAATATTTGCAGCTTGTGAGAATATGTTTGCGTGACGATTTACCGTTCACACTCCTGACGGATGTTAGCGAATCCTTCATGTTCGTGTGCTCGCAGTTATCGGTACCCCCTCGGAGTGAGTTCACCATATATATTTTTTTTCTTGCTTGCAGGACATCATAAAAATCACAAACACGCGAGAAAAAAAAAATCTTATGAGTACGCGTGATTTTGAGCTTCGCAGCTCTAAAGATGCCCGGTAAATGTCGTCCAGCTTGGGAAGAAACTAATCCTTTTTGTTGGAGTTTGACTATCGTATGCTGGCAGCTCGTTTCCGGTCTGTTTTGTCTCTACTCCGTTTCACCGTATTTTGGCAACCCTCAGTCAGAGCTGCTGTGAGGGAATCACAGTCGCGGAGCAAAGCACGTGACAGCTACTTTTAGGAGCAGTACTGTGGCGCCTGCAGCGCGTCTCCGACTGGTGGTTTTAGCGTCTTATGCTGGCCATACATCAAAAGTGGTCCCGAAGTGCAACAAATGACGTCACAGAAGACGGAGTGTCACGCTGCTGCATCTCGCGATCCTGGCAATTCATCGTAGAAATGCTGGCGAAAACCACGAGGGAACACGAGTGTCGCTGTCGTCATGGCGTCCCAACGAAAAGCTCGACGTTTTTGTAATTCGGTAATTTAAATTACTGTATACAATTTTTAAGAAAATAAAGACATCATAACCAAATAGGAACTTCCGTGCTAAAACATGCAGTGCGAAGTGAAGACAACTACTATCTTTTATTTTTCTTGATGTCCACAAAAAAAAAAAAAAAAAAAAGGGCTATGCAGCATTGATCCTACCGTTTTTTTGTTGTTTTTTTTTCGCACATTATGTGATGTCCTCTAACACGAAAGTATCGACGTAAAAGTGATGTAGAGACGATATCAAAACAAAAATTTAAGTGAATCGAGCTTTGTAGTGGAACGGAAAAAAATAAATAATTAACGACTTTTTACGGTAA